AATGATCAACGAGTAAAATAACAATGTAATAATTTGTAAGTACACACGTATAAGACGGGCGTATAATAATAACTTAAAAAAACAAACTGCGTTCGTGATGTTTATCAAGTACACATGCTGCGCCCTACCTACTCAACATATTTGCATTAGTCGTAATTATACGGTAATCGTAAAATGGAAGTTGGTCGGTTTCTTTTTGCGAATTACGAAGACATTGGAATATAGACATGACTAATCTTGAACGTTTGATTTTCTACAATGAAAGTGAAGGTGACATAAACCAATACTCAAAACAGATGTCTGCTCATAAAATATTTGACGTAATCTTGTGTAGGTTACAAAGAAATTACGAGATAGTATAGAACGGATAGTCGCTTTATTTTCTTTTATTCGTCAGACCGGTTGTCAAGGTTAAATGAAAAAAGATCACTTTCTCAATAAAGTAATTGAGTCTGGAGTTCAAGTACAATTAAACATTATCCATTTACGTTTTTTTACGTCAGTAAAAAAATTAGATAATGTTTGTCTAATGTAAATCACACTTTCATTTATTGGATATGCTAATCAGGAAGTTTGACTTTTCTATAATTGTTCTCAGAAATCACATGATATTTTCTATTGAACTCTCGATTTCGAAATAACAACTAGAATTGAATTTTTGTATTCGATTTTTTAATTTGCTAATTAATTGATACTTTTATAATTAATTATTGAAGACAGTGAACATGTTTAAGATTTTTTTTAGTACTTCACGATTAACTTACTTCTTCTTCTTTTCCTCATATTTTTGTAAACTATTTGGGGTTGGTCGTCCTTTATCATGAACTTTCACTTGATACGATCTCTCACATCATCTACGCACACAAAAACCGTCTTTGTATAAAACATATCGAATTCAGTAACATCCCTCCATCTCTTTTTTGGTCTTCCCCTACCTCATCTTCCTTCAACATTCATTTACATAACACTGTTCTTATAGCTTCCGATTCCTCTCACCTGAAAACATGACCAAACCATTTAAGTATATTTTTTTCTCTCATCTCATCTACGATTGACGCTATACCTATACTGCCTCTTATATTTTCGTTCCTTATCCTATCTTGTCTAGTCACTTAGTTCATGCATCTGAGCATTCTTATCTCTCCTACACTCATTCTCTCGTCTATTCTCTTGTCAACCGCCCAACACTGAACCATATATCATAGTTGGTCTTACTACAGTTTTATAGAAATTACCTTTCATGCGAATTTTCTTATCGCATAAAACACCAAACGCTTCTCTCCACTTTAAATCCTCGTCAATACCACTGTTCTTTTGCACAACTGACCCTAAAGACATTAAAATGTTCCCTTCTATCGAGTCCCCACCTATTGTCGCTAATCTCATTTCACTTACCTCGTGTTGGTCCTTGCCAAACTCGTACTTTATATACTCTATCTTACTGCTACTTATTCTTAATCCTTTTCCTTCAGGAGCTGATCTCCTCACCTCTAGCCTTTGATTAATTTCCTTTCTATTTACTCCTATTAACACTATATCGTCAACGAACGACATGCACCACAGTACATCTCCTTGTATACCTCTAGTACTTTCAGCTATCACTGTAGAAAATAAGTAAGGACTTAGATCAGAACCTTGGTACACTCCTACTTTTACCTTAAAACTTTTTTTTACTCCTACGCTTTTTACCCTGGTACAAATGCCATCATACATATCCTCTATTATATTAATACATATAAGGATATACATATCCTTTTCAGGACTCCTTTTCTCATTAATACCCACTTTAAACTCTTTTCGGTACTCTATCAAACGTTTTCTCAAAATCTATAAACACCATACATAGCTTTTTCTTCTTTTCCCTAAACTTTTCTATTAGTTGCCTTACACAAAAAACTGGCTCCATCGTTGATTTTCCAGGCAAAAAAAACAAATTGGTTTTGATTAAATTGTTACTGATATTTCTCTTTTTATTGTCTTATTAACTATGTCTTATTAAACTTTATGTTTCTATAATTTCCGCACTCCTGTATGTCTCCTTAGCTTTTAAATCGACACCACAATACTATTCCTCCATTCTTTTGGCATTTTCCCTTATAATAAGATATTATTAATATTAACTTACTGATTTTTATTATTTAAACACAATACTGCTGTTCGTGTAGTTACGGATACTAATTACGAACAAGTATAATTAGATTAAACTTATTGCATTTACTGTAACAATTTTCTTTTGCTGCTATTCATTTTTTCAACACTATTCTTTATGTAATACATAATCATATATTCTGCAAAACTACTTCTTTTGGCACATTAGAATTTAAGTCTATTTATTATTTATTATTTTAAGTCTATTTATTATACGAATATTTAATATCAATAACTTAGCTCCAGCAAATTATTTTTCAAAGTGAAAATTTTTATGTTATAGTTTTTAAACAACGTTTTGCAAATCAGATTAACCAGTAAAAGTCAAATTATGATTAATATAAATTATTTATATTAATCATAATTTGATAATATAATAATTATTATTATAATATAAACATAAACTCGTCAATTTTGATAACGATTTGTAAAGTTCTTTTTCATTAAGAAAATAGTTAAAATCTATTTTTTCTTAAAGACACGTGGATCAAAAATTAAATGTCATTAAACATAAATTTCGAACTTAGGTCTCAATAATCTTTATTATTTTCGTTGAAGTTTACTTGAAAACGTTATTGATATTTCCATTGAAGGAAAGCAGTCTACTTAACTTAGTCGGAAACACTTCGTACTTCAGTGCATAAGTACCGGAGTTCGATTCGGTTATGTTGGGCTATGTATATTTTACCGTTTTCTTTAATACAAACANAGTACATAAGTACCGGAGTTCGATTCGGTTATGTTGGGCTATGTATATTTTACCGTTTTCTTTAATACAAACATAGCTTACAAGAGAAGACGTAAAATATAAATAATAATAATAATAATAAAATAAAATAAATACCAACATCAAAATTCATATGAATTTTAATCAACCTTTATAGCTGAACAAAACAGTTGTTGTTATAAAAGAGAAACATTTTCTGTTTTATTCAAAAGTTGCTATTGCTTTTTCATTTTCTAAAATACCCCTGTATTTTACATTGAAAACAAAAATTGAAAATTTCTTCATACTTTTAAAACGATACAGAGCTGGAATAAGTAAAAATTTTACTTTTATAGAAACTTATTGTTGTGTATATTTTTTATTTTTTAAATACAATTTCAAAACAATTTAAGTTTATGAAAAAAGGTCGAACATGATATGTTATTTAATGAATCATATTAGCAACATACATAAAATACCTTTTTGTCTAACGAAAAAAAAACATGTATTTGACTATTGGACACTGGAGACATTTAAAGACAAAGTAAGCACGCATTAAAAAATAGGGGGACAAAAAAATAACTTTGTAACATTTGCATTCATGACGACCTTTTGATTTTTTATGTTCAACAATGCATCATTATTTCAATATGATATTTATATATTTTTAAACATAAATCAAAATATTGTGTTAAAATTACAAAAAAAATTAATAAATTTTTTTTATCAATATTTTTTTGAAATAAATTAAAAGAACAAATATTCAAGTTAATTAATTTACATTCTATTACAAATAATATAATTTTAAATAATAGGAAAACTAAAATTTGTTTGTTTAAAAAGGCCGGAAAAATAACGAAAATATAATTATATTTCTATTTAAATTGTTTTGCAATTAGTTCAAAAAAAATATGCATAAGATAAGTATTATATTATATAATGTAAATTATTATGTAAGCCATAAGTCATAAATAATAAATAATTTAAATTTTGTGTAATGTCGGTGACAAAGTCAGATATTTAGTAATACTATCATAAATTTAACATCATAATATTAAATAAATAATGTCTGCGGCAGATTCAGAAATTCAATTGTGATACAATTTTATTTTTTTTTTTTGTAATAAGCTGTAGAATTTGTAAAAGTCCGAAAAAAATTATTTTATTTCGTAAAAAAAAACTATGTTTACTCATTATTTCTGTTACTACTATTATATTAATTAATCTGAAAAATTAATATAAAATTTGTTCTCTTTATTTAATTCAAAAAATAACTTTTTACTTTCTCCCATTTAGTTTTTCTGTAGAAAAATCTATTTATTTAAATGTACGAATAAAGTTATTTTAACATGAGAAATATTTAAAAAATGTTAAATTGAAGTAATTCTAAACAATAAATTCATTCAACATGACCCTTAACTAATTAGATAAAAAATCATTTATTTAAAAATTTCAGTTTAAAATAAAAATAATACTTTTTAATAAGAAATAAAATCAGTTTTTACCACCATTCACAAAAGAAATTCAAAGTTTTCTAATCAATTAAACGTTAAAAAAGTTTTTATGAATAACTTGGGAAACACTAGTATGGGATAGTAAATTACTAACTTTTTTATTTCTACAAAATAAAAATGTATGTAAAGTTGAATTATTTTTCTCCGAATATTTTTACTCAATTAATACTTTACTGTAAACTTTGAGCAATATCAGTGTAAAGCAATATCAAAGATGACCGTACAAGTAATCCTAAAAAACAAAGTATTCTTAAGATATTCAGTTTTTTATATTGTATAATAATTCGAATTTTTTAATCGCTAAAATCGATTATAAGAAATAGTAAGTGGTCACAAACTTTCGGTTTCAAATAAAATAAGCATTCCGTTCATAAGAAAATATAAAAAAATTTATACGATTTTATACCATCAGTTCCTGTGAGTACAGCCACCAAAAAATTAAACGTTATGTTGATGATGAATTGTAACTGACTAGGTAGCAGTTAATAATATTACCTTGTTGATTATGCATGAGGCGATAAACGATGAGAAGAACTAATTAGTTATAATAAAAGCTTTTAGTGATTTTATGTAAAATCAAGAGATAATTTAAAATCTATAATCGATTGCTATTGTCATATTATTTTCCTTACCAATATTGGCAGCTTTGCACAGCATTGTTTTGATACAGTTAGCTGACAACGCGTTCTCATAAGAAATCAAATGCTTGCCGGCGGTCTGTGTCTTTTCATATTTCATTGCCACATTACATAGTTCTTCAAATGCTTTCATTCTAGAGTCTATCATTGTTTCTCCATAAACACAAGTTGCGACTGTATTAGACGCACATCTTTTCAACGCTGCCCAAGGAGCTATGGTCATTTTACGATTCGCCAAACCTTCCAAAGATACAGCTAATTCTTTAACACACTCTGCCATTGCTGGCATTACAACTTGCATGTTATCTTCGGTTATTACATTCGGTATTTTGCTATGGGTATGAGCCTGCGAGATTTCAGTGTCTTCGACAAAGCCGTCATTACTCAATACAATTGATGCTGCTTGTACATCACATATTAAAACACATGGTTTACCAGCATCATGTAACCCAACTATTGGCGTTTCAATAGCAATGTTTCGATATGATGTTAAGTGTTTTTCGTTCAGTCTACAAACTGGCAGAGTAGAAAGAACCGATTGACCTTTAGCCACTGGTATTGCTCGACTGTACCAATAATTACGCTTTTTTCGAATTAATGAAACTATTAATATTGTCAGAGTGAATAAGATGAGTGACAATGCTTGAAAACTCAACGTCGAAAACGCCATGATAAAATCTAAAGAAAGTATAATTTATTAATAAAACTTATCTACAAAATAACAAAATCAAAACCTACACAGCTTCGCATCAAAGCTAAAATTATTGTTTTTTTAGTATAGACACAGTGCATTTGAGAGAACAGCGCGTTCTAATTATGCGCGTAACTAATGTGATCTGAATGCACAGAAACTGAAGGGAATATTTTACAAAAACGTCTATAGCTCAAAAATAAACTATCTGACCAATAATAAATAAATTAGTAATAGTATTCAATATAAAATTATTGATACGATGGGCTACTTATGATTGAAGTTTTATTGTGTTTGATCTTTTTTTTTTATGAATAAAAATTTGATGTGAAAAATTTAAAACATTTGAAAATTAGTTTAAAATATTTTTATATTATGCGTGTAATTCGATCACACTACTTACGCAACATACTTACGAACCGCTTTGTTTTATAAATACACAGCGTCTTCAGTACAAATTCAAATTATTATAGATGTTTAAAAACTACTCAAAACTTCTATATATTTTTTTAATTTTCGTAAATATTTTTAAGCGTAATTTACTTCTATTATAGAGCTTAATATTTATTTTTATTTAAATAAGGTTACATTTTGAGTTAAACACGTTTTCCAAGTAATAGTAAATCGATGACTAATTTTAATTTTTGACATTCAATAATTTAATATTAATTCAATAATTGAATCTTATTAAATTGAATAATTAATCTTAATGACATTATAATTATTATAATGTCATTAAGATTAATTTTTTTTTTTAATTCTTTTATGATCAACTATTCTTCTACACTGGGTTGTTTACTACATTTTTCGCAAAAAATCAGTATTTCTTGGCTAGCTGTGAACACATGTTTATTCAATATATACCTACAAATAGCGATAAAAATGTTAAGAAATAAAATATAACCGTAATATGAACACTGCACTAAAATTCCAATTATAGTATTTCATAAATAATGCAATACATTTTTGTAAAAATTAGTTTTTGATAAACTGCAAAGGAACGGAAATAACTTTAATCGAATAGGTGTACTAACACAATTATTCATCAGTTTTAAAAATTTGTTTATTAACTGCAAAACACAGTGTATATGTTCGCTTAATATAATATGCCATTAACGTTAAAAATAAATTGAAGGTCAAAGCATAACTAAAAATAAATGTTTCCTACAACATTAGTGTCTAAATAATTATTAAATATTAAAGGAATCATTCATTCAGGCCCGTAGGCAAATCTTTTGAAAAAATTGTGTCAGTTTTCATCACAGGATTTACCAGTGATAATTATTTCATATGCAATGATCACTGCATTTACAGGAAATTACTCGCTACAAATATTATATGTTCATTCAATTTTTTCTTGTTTATCAAAAATATGGTAAATTAGCAAAATTCTTATAGAACTATAATTTAAAATAATACAATTACATTAATATTATATTTGGAATTGGATGCTATCTATATTTCTTTAATAAGAATCATAATGAATGTATGATGATGCAATGTTTAATATATTACGGCGACTGTCATATGCCATTAATTTTTGAATAAATACTTAATCTTCTACAATATAATACAATGATTCACGAGGTGACTGATGATCTGATGACTTTCACCTTGCTGTTCGCGCGAAAATGAGTTACATATATTTTACTATCATACTTATACTTAATAATCCATAATGTCAGCTAACTTCTAATACTAATTACATACTCGTTGTGTGCCTAATAATAATAATTCATCTCATGTCATATCTTAAAATTTTAGACTTATCATTAACGTTTTATCAGAATTATAATTCATCACTTTTAAATAGTCATACAACTTTATAACATGTTGTTAGTACCGTTTCTAAGACTGTTTGAATTTGTTTTTTTTTTAATTATTTGAAATCATATAACAACCAAAAACCAGATAACATAATAACCAAGAACATCCAAAAAATATTGCCCCATCCATATTTGAATTATTAAATATGCTATGCATATAATAAGTGGACATAATAATAATGAAGAAATAAACAAAAATGAGAATTTAAGCCATTAAGAAATAAACTTAACATTCCATTAGTGTTTTTCATATGTAGTTTGACATATGTTACACAGTTATGAAAGTAGTTTTAAGACAGGCAAAATATTTAGTTATTTTGGTTTAATATCTAGTATTTCTAGATAAGAAATTCAAATAAATTTCAAAAAATATTATAATATTATTATTGTAGTTCTAAGCGTAAAAATAATAAAAAAAATAGTTACTGTATTAAAAATTTTAGGATTTGTCAAAACAAGCGGGACCGCTTTCTATAATATAAATTCAAATTTAGTCTTATGCTGGGAAAGAATTCATAAAAAATTAAATAATGTTTTTATAAATATAGGCGAATGGTTTATTCTATTTATGTGACCTCCTACAAGAAATCTATGCATTAGAGGAATAAGAGAAAATAATAGAATTTCCAATAACTTTGGTAATTGCATTTATATTTTATTAAAATTGAGTATAATAAAAGGTTACGTATGAGATCTTTTTGACATTTATATTACTGCTCTTCTTATAACATCAATTTTCTCAGTTTACTCTCAGCGCGAAAAAACATTTTTATTAATTTGTATGTCTTTCTTATGTAAACAGTTTTATGACAATTTATGTCTATATGATTAAATTTAAATAACTGTTTATTATTAATTACAAATAGAAAAAATAAGATTTTTCCATCTAATATTTATGCAATCGACGTCGTACGAACTAAGGGATTTTGAGTGTATGCAAATAATAATACATTTAAAACTTTTTTCACCAAACAAAATGTCCAATTAACTACTTTACGTTCTGGAAACACGATATAGTATCGTAAATAATTAAGCACACGTATCCAATTATAAAACTTTTTTCTACCTATAACATAATATCCACATTTATTATCCAAATTTTATGCGTTGCTGACATTATATTATTTATTATAACATACTTTAATTTAAAATATTTACCACCAGACAACGAAAAACTTTTTATGAAATTCATATGTTTATTATTTTAATAGTCTTAAGTTCGTGCAAATTTAATGAAATAATTTATTTTCTTAATAAAATAATAATGAGACGTAAATTACGTTATTGTTAAAACATATGTGTTTTCTAATGTTTTTTAATCAATTTTAAATGATTCGCGGGATGTTATTTACAAATATTTTTGGAACGATTGGTAATAATTATTGATTGATGTCATGTGCGTAACGATTAGGGTCATTACAATTCTTTATATATCGTCTTATAGAATGTCATTAGTAAAATTGCAATATTATGCAACACACACGGAAATAATAAATAGTTAATGAGGTGAGAACTTTTACAAAGACGGTTTAAATAACTCAATAAATTATTGGGTTAACCAAGTATTTAGTTATTACAACTGTCGAAATTGCAGTGGCCATTGTATTAAAGATATTGTAGTCGTATTTTTTTCTGTGTATTTCATTTCTAAATTCTTAAACTGTACACGAATTAATCTGACTGTCGTGTGCGATTTTCGGAATTAAAGAATAAGTAACGCACGATTTGTCAGGAAGGTGTTAAAATGTCGTATCTCTATTAGTACCAACAGTATTATATTATTATAGATCATAAAATGTTCACCCTTTTCACTAACACATTAAATTGGTTATTACCTACACTAGGCCCGAAATATAAGTACTAAAAAATGTATGACTCATTTGCAGACTGATGGAAAAACTCTTATAATTTATGAAATTTTAACTATTTCGTTCCAATGTTATGTATTCCATTATTTTATATTTTAAAAAGTTTTGCTTTTTTACATTGCATTCGCGTATGTCAAACAAGTGATTTTTATGAATTTTAAGATATTGTGCCATAATTAGGTTTGAGTTACGGATATGTAATTATGATTATTATATATTATTTTTTTTAAACTTTAATTATGCTCGGATTTTATGCGTCAAAACAAGTATCTGCCTTTCAGAGACACTTGAATAAGGTGTTGTTTTAATAAGCGACGTTTAATTAAAAGTGTGTAGTATGTGAACTTAGCAACGCAAGCAGTAGAAATAATAATTAAGGGATATTGCACGAAAACGAATACGAAACAAACATTATTAAAAACAACAGTCTGTGTGTTAAGATTCCTATTGGTTTGTTTAGAATTAGTATTAAAATATGAGAGTAATTTTTCATAAGAAATTTGATCATTATACTTTAAACAGTTAATATAACAATCGGGATTAAATTTTATATGCTTCACAATGATTTTAAAAATAATTTTTAATAGATTATTTTATTTCCATTAATAATGAACTTAAAAGTGAATCAATTTTAAGAAAATTAATTTTCTCCTTATTATAGTCGACTGGCGAAACAATAGATTACCCTGACCTGAGTTAATAAGAAATAACTAGTTATACTCTTTTTCTTTTATTAAACTACACACAAAAGACGCTCCTTCAACTGAGCAACAGGATTAAAAAAAAGTTTAATTTCTTTAAATTTCACAATAAAACGTATAAAACTTTTAAGATAAACATAAGATAATAATATTAGTGTAATAGTTTAAAAATTAAAATATACATATATTTTTTTTTGGCTCAAACAATGGATCAAAAACTCTTTGCTTACTCTAATATGCTTATATTTTATTGATTTTATTATCATATCATAAATATTTTAAATAATAAAAATATATTACAGAAGTTATTTGAATTTCGTAGCGTTATTAGTTTTAAAGTACTCAAAGTATATTAACAGAATAATAAAATATATTGTACAAAAGTATTGATGAAAATATTTTTTTATTATCTAGACACGAATATTGCATGGTAGTTTTATTTTTAATCTTGATACTGAATATCGAATAAAATAATAATTTATGACATATATTAATACTTAATGGATAATACGCAACATCTAATGACAGAGTTATAATTAAATGTTAATTATAATGCCAATGAAAAAAAAACTTATTTATAAAGCTTATTAAATAAATATAAATATAAATTTTTTTTTTTTTTTTAACATGAATGAATCAGTAGCTTCTATTTCATTACCATTTAATGAAAAAAAAAGCTTTCCAGTCATTGAAACAATCGTTTTTTTCTCGGATAACCATAATAAATTACGTCGATTAGATTTTTGTTGTGAATTTATTTGTTAAGGAATTTAACCATTCTTAAAATGTGTTTAATTGTTCCTTCAGATTTATTTTTAAATTTCATTTTCAGTGATTATTAAAAGCCAACTATGTTTGATTTATTTAAATTTTGTGATAAAAAATGTTATGATTTTTAACAATTGAATTCAATATTACTATTTCACACGGTCATACACAGATTTCATGATTTTGTATTACTAATACATGATACTTATTTTATTTATATATATATATAATGTGTAAAGTTCAGGTTTTGCTTAGTATTTTTGAATGAAAAACTTGCTATTGACGTTAACAAAGAAAGAAAAGTCCAGCAGATGTTCCATTTCACAAGGATTGGACTAGGATCAAAAGTTTTTCGAGCCACCGCCAGTTCATTTCTTTTATATTTTAAACGTAGCCTTATAATATACAGTTTAAAAGAATTATGCAACTCACTCGAATACGTTTCCAGGGAATAATAATAGAAGATATTAAGTATAAAAAAATGTCGCAAGTTCTTCTCAGTAAAAAATGCTATGCTAAAAGAGATGTTTATGATTGTACAGGGAAAATATCTATCTGCTAAAATAAAGTCTACCGGACTTTCGGTTATATTATTTGACTACTCTTGCTTGAAGCTAAATAGGTAATAAATCATTCGCCAACTGTTTAGAATAATAACAATAGGCAAAGTTATATTATTTTCTATTGTGTGTGCATTTAATTGACAAATTATAAAGAATGCCGAATCTAAGTAGTTGGGATAAAGGTGAGAAAGAAGAAGAAGAAAGAAGGCAATTATAAAATGCTACAAGCTATTTAGCTAAAAATGTTTCCTCCCGCGAACTTAATGAAACAGTGACTACTGAACCAGTGTTAACATTACATTATTATTCTTGTAGTTCACAATCATTACACCAACAACAGAATGTCGCGTCTTAATACTTATAAAACGCTCATTATTTGTAAAAGGTCATGTGTAATGATATCTAATAACAACATTGTAATACTGACATAATTTAACGAATATATTTTTATTTTTTGCAGGTAAGGGACTCATTTCTGGGAGATCATTTAAAAAAATTCTAATCCGTAAGTCAACTTTCAAGTTATGGAATGTTTTACCAATGTAATATTGTATAACTTAAAATTATAATTCATATAACGCACAACGACACTGCATAATGTACACTACTTTTAACAGAATTTGACGCACCTGTGCTCTTTTATTTTACTCAGAAATAATTCTATCATAAAAGAGTAATATTTGTTAATGTTTTTTTACGTTCCGCCGTATATAGTAAAGTCAAAGTCACGAGTATTAATGATTAATTGCATCGGAGACAAAAAAGATTAGTCATTCACGGTAGGAAGTATGTTTTTTGAACATGAATATAACGCGATTGTAATACCATATTAATGTTTATGTAACAAATTTAAACAGTCTACTAGACTAAATTATAAATTGAAAGTTGAAAATGGACTAATGATAGAAAGGCCTGATGTGGTAATCTTTAAATTTTTTTTCTCTATAACATTTATTAATTTAGAGATTTTGTTACGATTGATCATTATAATTTTTAAGCATGAACCATTTTTGAGTTTCTATAGCGATACACAATGGTTCCTTATAGATTTTTAACAATATTTAAATTGCATATTTAAATTTAGTTAATTATTTGTTAAAATGAAAAATAAATAATATGCAAACTTTAAAAATTAATGCTTCTGGTTATCGCTTAAATTCACAACAAATATTTTATAAAATATGATTCGATATTTCAAACGATAGAACATGTTAACTTTAATTTAAAATTCAGACAATTTTCTTATTTTCATTACTTAAGCTAGCCAAAATGTAATTATAATTAATAGTCTAAAAAAAGCTAACTTCAGTTTAACCAAGTTGGCGTAATCTTGCTTTTTTAGAATTATATTATAACATGTTTCCCAATAATTTAAAATTTTTAAAAGACAGGGTACAAACATTTTTTAGTTTTAAATAAATTTTTTCATTCGAAAACTAGTGATCATAGAATGCATTGGATAACTTCTTTATGTAAACATAAGTTAGTAGCTATTGTGTTGTAGGTAATGTCTTCATTTTTACTAAATTGATAAATATAAAAATTGATTTTTATAAAAATGCGGAATTATCTCATAATTATATTATTCAAATATTCTTGATATTTATATATACTTATTAAATAATAAAATAGTTTTTCAAACGGAACACATTTTTTAATTATTCAATTTTAATATAGGGTAACTAATTGAACGTAACTATTTGATCACACTTGATGAAAATTACATATTTTTAGCATTTATATTGATATTATTATATAAGTTTATTATAAATAGTTCATACATTTAGATAGAAAATAATTTACTATTTTGAGTTATATTAAAGTGTCAAATATTATGACCTTGGATATAACACCATCTTGTAGTCATAGTATGTGTGTGAGGTTTGTTAAATAAAAATATATTATTATTTTTCAGTATGAATAGATTTACTTTTATTTTGCATCATTAAAAATAAAATAAATAATGATTTATTTATATTTGTAATAAAAGTGTCACGTTAACATTTATGTTCTACGAAGAATGCGACATTAAGTTTTGCGATAAAAATAATGTACGTAAATTGAATTGAGAATAGTATTATAACCTGAACAGCAATATTCCCTTTAATTTATGTGATAGAACTAAAGTACTCACGTGGTTATAACTTCAAAATAATTATGATTATGAAAATATTAGACCGGTGTTATCTTGAAGCATGAACGACTCAATAGTGACGTTAGTAGTGGCGATTGAGCGACTGATTTGAAAAAATTGTTCAGGAGAAAGTGATCGTCGGTGGCAGTTTATATGTTGTCCTCCCAAATTAATTCCAAATAAGTTGACCATAATATCTAAATATGACCATAAGTAAAAGGATTTAGAGCTTAAAATAATTATTCTAATGATAAAATAAAATATTTATGCCGTTACTATAGTTGTGACCAATTGCAACGAAAGAAGGGGAGAATCGTTTGGGTCGTGTTGTGATCGTATAAATGATAACAGGTTTTTTCTTCGGTGTAGTTTTTAAGTATTACCATCTTATATTTTAACGCGTAAACGTTAACATCATAAATTAACAGACATAACATAATGAACTTCCATATGATAATTTGATGTAATCGTTACATGTTATAAAAAGTTAACTAATGAAAATAATAATTGTATTTGGAGTTCAAGGTCAAATTAAAACTAAACATTAGCTTTCTATAGATAACAACCGAGTTTATAAACAGCAATAAATTATCTAATTTTCTACATTCTGAAGATCAAAGAATTAAATTACTAAGAATTTCTCTGAATTAGTATGTTATAATTATTTGTTGAACAATTTTATACAAATATTAAAAAACATCGAGAATAATTGAAAATAATTGATTTTTATGCTGTTGGCAATAAATCAACATCAGGAATCCTTCCAAGTGAAGTTGAGGCATATTTTAGATTATTATTGATTGATATCTGACAAAGATTAAAATCACTGACATAAAACGATACGATGCGTATTCGAAACAAATTTAAAAAAAAATTTAACATATCCATAAAACATAACGTGATTTACGATTTTAGAATCCATTATTCATAAAAGACAAGTCGTCGAAACGTCTTGCTATTTTTAATCATATTTTATATTAAATAAGTTCTAATTTTACATAATGATTAAGTGTTCCGTCATTATACAAAAAGTCACAAAATTGGACATTTTTATCGAATATTGTATGATTTTTGTTTTAATTGGCCAATAGTTGATAAGTCTTAAGTTTTTGGTAGAACATTGGTTAATGATAAGATTTTCAAAAAAAATATATGTTGAAAGTTAGGTAATTGTTTTTATTACCACTGAAATTTTTATTTTAATTTATGCATTATTCAAATAGTTAGATCAAGAAAAAAAAATTATATGATTATGGAGGCGGATGACTAATGTCGTTGAAAAATCTTTCTATATTTAATTGAATAGTACATTAAATAAGCTATAATTTGAATTAGTTTTGAACGTTGAAGATCTTTAATTTCTATGATATACTATTGTCAATTGTCCATTTTTAACAAAAACTGTATAATTATTGTCTTTAACGCCCAATAACTCAAAGAAATCGAGATTTTGGATAGATGTATTGTTTATCTTAAAGTATACTGTACAATCTTTAAGTTTAAATGTAGATTTTTAGAAAATCATTAAAAATTAAAAAAAATAAAAATTACTTACATTTTTACTAATGAGTAAATATCTCAAAAATCAGATATGATATAAAAAGTCTAATAGCATATTTGAATTCAAATTGGTCTAGAAAAATATTTCCATGGGAAGGCTAAGTCTCATATAATGAATTAAATGATTGCGAGGGCAGTTGCTCTCCGCCCTTCAGTTCCATCACCACTGCCTGGTGTTTACATTTAATGGAAATTCCTAATATTTTCTAATTTTATTACACAATTGTAGGTATATATTGTTTAGAATTTGAAGAAAAAAATATTTTGAATCGAAAAATAAAAATGATTTATATTTAAGAATACTATTTTTTTAAAAAAAAACCTTAAAATTGGATTTTTTAAGATATTTTTTACACCATTTATATGTATGTATATATTTTAATTTTTAAATACTATTGAACATTTTTGTAAAACTGGCAAACCACAGTAGTTTACTGGTTACCCTCTTCTTATTAGAACACAATTTAGACTTTACTTTTTCCATTATTTTCGTGGACGCAGTCATTCTCAATAGTAGTTGTGCGTTTATTTGGAAAACCATATAATTTTTTTTGCCATTAGATTAAATATTAGTATGTTTTATTCTGACACATTTTGAGAGGATTGATGGTCATTATAAGTAATTATCGTTCTTAGATGTCATTGTGTTCCAAACTTTAACATGTTTTGGCTACTTTAAGTTATATTCAATTGATCTTTTTTCGTACAGATTGAATATTACATATTAGTACTTATTAGTGTCATCGCTACATTTACAGTTCATTTTATGAAAGTCAGGTGAACTCCAATCATCGGAGTTTTAGTGTTGTGTATTTGCATTTAATAGAATAGTAAATATTTTTCTTTAAATTGTTAATAATAATTGTCTATATTGCTAAGAGAATTTATTTAAAAAACAATAGTGATATAGTGCATTTAGCTAATTACAAATTTGGTAAAACAAAGTGTCTCTGATCAATTTTCTTTATATATTAAACTTTTTGTCGAGATTAATTGTTACTCGAAAAATGTAAAATTAAATTATTAGCTTCGTTCATTTTATCACTATATCAAATTGCATGTTACCTATAAATTGTATGTTCCTAATGACATTTGTGAGTATAATTATTATTGAATATTGACATTGTAGTTTAATTAAATTATATTACAAATTATTTAGATATAACATCAGTATTTTTCATTTCATAATTCAAAATCACAGCCCATTCAACAACTATTAAAATCATTATACGATTAACACTAAACTATTTGACACGGTCCCGCGTCCCTTCGTGGTACACGATGCCCCGCGACTCGTGCCACCTTTATCAGCCGTCGTCCGGCTATGAGTATTTGACTGACCAACACCGCGTGCCATACGCCACGGTGCAAAGTCCAACATATGCCGCACGACTGATGCCGCAAATGATACGTAGAGTTCTTCCCGTTGTCAAGGTGACATCGTCGAGGATGTACGCCACCGGCTCTGGACATGTCGCACGACAGGCTGGACGAACCGAACCGCACCCGCGCGCCATCACCATCGACGCTGCCAACTTTTCGGCGCCCGAAGATCTTGCCGGACACCGCGTCGCCGGCGAAAGTGCCGCGATATTATGCGAAGATTATTATTAACTGTGTTCGTTTTTTCGGTTTGTTTGTATTCAAATAACCTGTTGATAATAAACGGCCAACGGGTCTCTAACCCCAAAACCAGTGCCGACTACTTTATTGCGACGTAAGTCGTGTCATATCAAATAGATTATAAAACTGTTATAGTTTAGTAAGTTTTATTTATAAAATAAACATCTTAAAAGATAAATCTTTAATAATTCTTTGTTATTGATTCCTTGTTTTGTGGTTTTTAATTAAATAATATGATAAAAGTGTCTAATAAAAACACTGAACAATTTGGAAGTCTCAGTTTTAAAACTTACTTTTTAGATAATATATTTTCAAATTTTGGAATAAATATTATTTTTAAGCACATTTTAATGGAAATTAAATATTAAATTTAAGGTTATTAATAAAGGTACTTAACCAAGCAATAACCTTTGTATTGCTACTAATGAATAATATTTCTGTAACAGTCCACTACAAATTTATCAGGTCTTAACCCGAAATTGAGCGTTTCAACTATTTTCCTTCATTTAATATGTATTGAAATTCATATTTCCATTTTTAAAAATGGATAACAGTTCTATATAAACCAATGTTTTTAAATTTTACACCATTGTATATATAGTGTACAAAAAATAAATAAAAAGTTTACAATTTTTTAAAATCTAATATCTCATAAACTAAGTCAATTTATTACCAGTACAGCTTTAACAATGATTTATATATACAAATTAATTAATTTAACCATAGAGAAAAAAAGACAAAAATTATTTTAAAATAATTTTTTTTAAATTTTAAATAAAATGAATCACAAGTTCCAATTTATTATGTATATGTTCTTTTGAATGACCAAGTATTACGTAATATAAATTCGCATATATGTTTCTGAATGCTAAGAAAAAATAAACAAATATATTATTAATTAATTAAAAGTAACTAGATGTCAGTTTTTTATTTAATACTAAAATATTTAAACTTGATAAATTAATTAAATAACTTTTTATCAACTATACTTTTTTCCATAATCCCTATAATTTAAAACGATTATTGATAATAATAAAAATAACCGCATATATCGGCTATTTTTATTAAATTTTTTTTGAAACATATTTTTAAAATATTTTAGCCTTATGGCTTTGCTTTACTGGATAACGAATCAAAAGTTCTTTTACTGGTATATCATGTATATCAGACGGAATTCTTTATTTTAAAAGTTACTTAAATACAAATATTTATAATTTTATTTAAAATTAATTGTATATCAAGTAAAATTAGATATCCTTATAACAAATTAAGGGGCAATAGGATCAAGTCATAAAAGTAAAATTAAATACCATTTGATGGTATATGGGAATCTATCGCAAATGGTTCCATTTGACTGGCTATAAATAAATTCTATAAATTAAGATGCCATACCGACGACATATTAACTATCAATCTTGGAGATATGAAAACATTTTGAAAAATAACACGTTGGCCTTAGATGGATAGTGTCAGTCTAAAAAATTATACTAAATATTTATTTTACCTTGCATGCCTATATCTTGTGCGTTTATATCATCAAAACGAGTCATTATTTCATTAGCTTCGTCTTGCGTGATTCTGGTTTTAAATTTTTCAATAGACTTTGTTAATTCATTTTTGATCATCCTTTTATCTAAGTTGAGCATTTTTTCATAACTATTATTTATTCGCCATTCAGTTATTTTGACAACTAACTTCGCTTGATTTAAAAATTGTTCCAATGTCATAAGTCCATTTTCTTAATGAATTAAAAATTATGTGTTATCAATTTATTTTTATTTAAAAGTAAAATGGTAATATCAATAAATTCATTAATAATAATCACTGACCGACATTTAAATATCACTCAATATAATTAATTTATTATAATATTATAAATAATAATTTATTCCTGATATAGTTTTTTATATTGAAATCTAATCATAATTTTTATGACGCTTCTTAAATTATTAAATTGTGTATATACGAAGTATTAGTTTGAAGCAAACATTTCGACTAAATACGACAATAAAGAGATAACTTAATTATGTCGTCATTATTACCGCAGACGCAATCACGTTTTGAAAAAGGTAAAAAACGGGATGCAATAGGGAAACTATAATTTTTTTCTATAGAATAGAGTGTTTTAGCTTCCATTCAATCACAGAAATGTAAATAACTCTCCAATAAATATCAAAAATTACATTTATGATTATAAAAAAATGTATTTATTAAGGTGAGAAATTATAATTAGCACTTTGAATATATATATCAATTTAAGCCTATGATTCTTCCACAACATTTGACATTGTACCTCTTTCATAAAATTAGCTTACTCTATAATATCAAATTAGTATATGTAATAATTACATTTTTGAAAAGTTAACGAGCTTGAGTACTTAGAAGCCATGCTGAGTGTCAAGAATGATTGGTCAAAAGAGATTGGAATAAGAATAACAAAGGCTGAAAGGGCAGCATTCGCACTAAGAAAGTTTCTGAAAAAAAAATTATTTTCAAAGAAAACAAAGATAATAAGACAGGCGATAATAAGACCCACGTTAACTTTTATGGATGCGAAACCTGGACAACCACTAGTAATACAGAAAGTAGACTAAGGACGTTCGAAAATAAAATATGTAGAATAATTTACGGTCCTGTCTATGATAACAGAACAGGTGCGTGGAGAAGAAAATTTAATCGGGGAATACAGGATGAGTTGGGACTAGCACCAGTCAAGAGCTTTATAAGTGGTCAGCGAATACAATGATTTGGTCACGTAATGCGCAGAAATGAGGAAGATACAGACGGTGTTGGACGGCCTAGAAAAAGATGGTTGGATACAGTGGAAGAAGATCTCAAGAAAATAGGAGTATGAGGGTGGAGAACAATAGTTCATAACAGAGAACAATGAGGGCAAATCGCGATGGCGACGAAAACTCTTCAAGAGTAATAAATGCCAGCAGAAGAAGAAGAAAAAGAAGTTAGGGTTCCAACTATTTTATAATTTTTTCGAATTCTACGAGGTCCTTTTGAGAACAAATGGTCCTCAATTATAATATTTGTTTTACTAAGGTATTTTTTTGCTTTAACTATTGTAAAAATAATCTTTATAAAATTTGTAACTAGTTCAATAATATTTAACGTAGTTATTTGTTAAAATCTTTAATGTTATTGGTTGGTAGATTTCGATATTTTATATAAAACTAATGCTGTAAATTTATTCAAATTTCAAATTACTAACACAAGAATATTAAATATAAAAATTTTAGTAATTAAAAAATAAATAGTAAATTAAGGATTAAAGTTGTCCTCCTCCTATTCTAGAACACATCTACAATTGCAGAAATATGCTAAAATTGCAATTGTGCCAAAGATGAACACTATAATCAAATGAGAAGCATAACCTTTATAATCGTGTGTATTTTAAGTTTTACATGCGTTACAATAGCGCTTATTTATACTTATCTAATTATATTAAAAATGAAACAAATCATGACAATTTGAAACGAATTGTTCTAATTTATGTGTATTGTGGAAATTAAGATTGTGTTATCTGTAATTGATATAATAGAATAACGGGTTGTCATGTAAGTTTTTTTATACCTTTAATTGTTTACCAATAAGCGCATGCGACAAAACCACGCAAAATAAATTGTTATGTTTTAAATAAACTGTAAATTAAAATAATAAAAATTAAAAATACAATTTTGAGTCACTCTAGTTTTTAGCAGAAATAAAAGTAGAATCCCCAACACGAATTTTATGGAAAAATATAACTACTACAATAAAATTGTATTGCTTATAACAAAATAAGTATTAATATTCATAAATAATGGTTACATGTATTTATCAGCTTGAAAACCGTAAATAATGCGAAATATAACCTCACATTTTAATCTCAAATTAAAATGTTGTACCTAATTCTTTGAACAATACAACAAAAAAATATGTATATACATTAAATTTATCAATTATAATAAAATTTGTTAAAAATAAAATTTAACTTTATAAACATAATTAGTTTTAATTACTCTCTATAACTTCTTCTTTGAATAATCCTCTGATGAATGCTTCGTCCAAAAGGTGTGCCATTTTAAAAACACTCAATAGTTTTATAAATTTTTTACAGTCCATACCTTCTTCTTTATTTTTATTATTATTAAACAACTTTTCTAAATCCGTCCTACATGTATCAGTCAATTCGCCGATCTAAAATAAATAATTAAATGTTATATAATTGAATTATATGAAATTAGAATTTATAATAATATAACTTTAAATATTTAGATTAAACAGTGACTAAAATCCTTATTATAAAAAACGCATCGATGCAAATTTGTAGATAGTGTTCAATTTTTAGAAAAACTTGTTGGATTTTTCCAAAAGCAAACTCTTATTTCTTAAGTATATCTTGATGGCAAGTTTTATGATTTATAAGTATATTACATTAATTTTGTAATTTTTATGGGGACAGTAGATAAAAAAATAAGCAAAGAAAATATTTATAATTAACACTTAAATCTTATTAATTAAATTTTTTTTGTAAAAGAGAGGGGGATAATTGGGGCACTTATCTACCTCTTCATATATGACTATACATTTGACTTTAAATATAGACAAAAATAATATAAAAAAACGATTAAAATATGAAAAACTGCAATTTATATAAGAAAATTGTTTTGATTCATTTGTTTTTCAGACATTTTAGCAACTTTTTTTCCCTCCAAAAGCAAATTTAAATTATATTTAACGTGTTGTGTAAAAATGTTATTTCTATAAAAGATAGAATAAAAAAAAATCTACATCCTAATAAACATTTAAATATTCACCAAAATGAATTTTCTAATTACAAAACATTTAACAATTCACTTTTATTAAAAGTTTGAATTTAAAACTTAAATAATATCGTTTCACCTCATTTAAAGGTAAATATTTGAAAATAATTGCGTTTGAAAAACTGGCTAGATACATTATAATGAAAATATAGAAAGACATTATTGATTGATAAATCCGCGTTTTCGAATGAAACTAATAAATGAAACAGTTGAAATGATAGGTTAATTGAAATTGTATTTATTTTATAATAATACTTTGTTGTTTTAGTGTTAAAAAACGTCATTTTTAAGTATTTTTTAAATAGCAATAAAAGCGTATAATAAATTAAATTACTTTTTTAATATTTGAATAGTAAACATTTTATTTATATGAAGGTACAGAATAATTATTCTTATAGTTATTAATTAAAATTATAGTTCTTAATAATTATTTTATTGTCATCATTGTACTAATAATACTAGTAAAAACTTGTTTTCCTTTGTTTCAGTTATCATTGAAAACTAAAATTTAAGTAAAATTTAAGTCTATAAATTTATAAGTCTTGACGTTTTGCAGTTGGTTCTTTTAAAATTGCTGTAATAATTTCTCAATAAATAGTTATAATAAATTATTTATTAAACTAAAAAAATAGAAAAAACAGTACACTTATAAATCATAAAACTTGTAATCAGAATATAAATAGGGAAATAGGAGATAATGTAGCTTTTGGAATAATCCATTAATTTTATAAAATTAAACATTATCTACAGATTTGGATCGAAGCGTTTTTTATGATGGTGATTTTAATCACTATCACATATCATTTGTACTGGAACAACTATGCCACGTCCCCACTGTGCTGTTTTTTCACTTCATCATCACTCGATAGTACCCTATTATCAACACTTTTTTTATTCACCAAATGGCAAAAAAAAAATAACTTGTTAAATACTGTAAATTTAATTGTTTAACATAAATATTAAATTGTTCGTTTATGAAAATTTTAAAATTATATCGATAATTTTTAGTGCGCCGCATTGGCGTATCTATAAGGTAGACTAAAGGGGCTGCACCCCACCTAATTAGCCAATTATTACTTTTTTACTGTGTTGATGTACACTTAGATTTAAATTTCCTAGTTTAATTAGAAATACTCTAAATCACAAGTGTAATAGACAAAGGTATAGAATCACTAACTTTATCAAAACGTAAACTAAATAATTGTAATCAATAGAAATTTTCACGTCATATACTTCTTATTATCTTAAAATAATACTAATTTGCTTTTTACATCATATATTTTTTACAATTATTTAGATCTTATAATATTTACCACAGTACAAAAAATTTACGTTTATACTTAACTTCATACATGTTTTATAATAACTGTATACTTGAATAAACAGTAATAATATTATTTGGTAGTTACAATATAACTGTTCGAATTTCTAACACAAATAATTAAATTATTTAATTCCTAAAATGTTTGAAGCCGTGAATAATCTACATTACATTATTAAATACTAGTTGTCATACAATAATATGATTATTATGGTATAATTTAAATTTGTACAATGTTTGAAGTGAAACTTCTTTATAGAGGGTCCGAAAAAAAAAAGATTATCGAGCGCACGGTCGGCTGTAACGTTTGGCCGTCACGGTCGACCGTAGTCGATCGTGATACTTTATAATTATTATAATTATAATTCAGTACTGTATTTTCGAAAATTAAAGTAATTTTATTTAAAATGTATTAAATAATTTAATTTCAAATAATTTTGATTGTGCAAGTGGGGTGTTAAAATATAGTATGATACTATGCAAACCTAATATTCTATCAGTTGAATGACTGAAAGAAGTTTCACTTCATATGCGTGCACTCGTAACTGGGATTTTTAATTTTTTTAATCTGTTTTTAGACAATATTGATTAAATTCCGTATAATTCAATTTAATCATTAAATTATTTACTTTAAATTAATTTAAAATTAAATTACTTTAAAAGTTGTCAAAATATATTACAATACATTTAAAAAATATTAGTTGGAAATTTCTTCATTGAAAAAAATAATCATTTGTTTCTACCAAATTCTAATAATAACTGCCATAAGTGGCTGACTCAAAGACGTCAGTAATTTTAGTAAATATTACAAAACGATTACAGTTGTTCATTTTTATATGACATTACAAAATATTTGGTAATTGTGGTAGATTTATTTATCGGCGCTAACAGGAATTTATCTAACAATGCTGTAAAAGTTACCGAATTATTGTTAATGTTCACATTATCTTGTGAACAAAATAAATGCAAAAATTGTAGATATTATATAATTCTAAGTAGGAGTCGAAACGTCGCAACTATCTTATGTATTTTCTACATGAATATAACCTAACGTATGCACTTGATGGGACACTATTTTTATTACCACAACTAGAATTTTTAACGCTATTTATATATTTCACAGATTTTATTTTAGATTGAAAAGTTTTAGTCCTTTATTGTGTTGCTATCATATTCAAATTAGGTATGAAATAAAAACTTTTTGCATTTAAAATTACTTCTAATTTACCATATGTTTTAAACACAAGTTTAAACTAAATTTTTTGGAGTTTCGTAGTATGTATTTCATAGTACGTAACTATGAAAACACCCAAAATAGAACAAATACAAATTATTATTATAAGTACAAAATATATAATACAATAATAGTATTTATATATTTTTACTAAATTGTGATTGTTTTAAAACATAATATTTTAAGGATATGTTTCTATGTACATTGTCTATAGCATTTTTGATTGAAATAGCCCAATATCTTTGGAGTGTTTTATTTTATTTTGTCATCGGAAATATGCTAAAATATTTTATCAGATTGACGATGTAAAAAACTTGTTTAGTTAAAATAACAATTATAGTAGTTAGCTCTGCAAACCCCGTTTAACAATAATGCGTTTGTATTGTTTAAGGATTTACTATAACGATTAAAAATTTAATTAGTAATACAAATTTACGACAGTGTATAAAACAAATTTTTAACAAACTAATTCGGTTGAATTATCCACACCTTTTTTTTTCTTGAGTGTTTTATACATTTTATATTTTAAATATTAATAAATGGGTCAAGTGAGACTAAGTGATCTAAATTCTGAATATTCTAAAAATAATTTTGATTACATAATTTAATGTATGTTAACACTAAGAAAAAAACTCAACTTTAATAACTATTTGTACATTATAGAAACCAATAATATATTAAAATAGTCACAAATAAAGCAAAAACATAACTTTGCAGGTACTATTAGATCATTAAAATCAATTAAAATAACAATGAAGGGTGGGTAGGGAAGGGTGGGCTAGTAATTACAGTTTGTATATTTTTAATTCTATGAATTTTTCTTTAACAGTTAGCTAAATTTTTTAGAATTCATTTTAATCTATAAATTATAAGCTTCTATAAATGTATAATTTATTTGATAAATTCATATTTTAATACCATATGTTTTACAAAGCTATGCAATATGTAACAATTTACCCAAAGGTGAAGTTAGTTTTATAGTTACAGTATACATTTTTCTAATTTTTATGATAAAAAATTATAATAATATGAATTAATATTTTATAAATATAAAAACATAAAATTTAAAAATCATTTTAATCAATTTTATTATTATCCTCGAAAAATATCTTAGTTGCGGAATTTTAATATTCATTTATGGACATTTTACAACAGACTCTGTAATTTCCCTATCTAAATGAAATAAATTATACTATTTTTATTAAATTTAAAAAATATATAATTTTTTTAAATGGGTAACAAATATATTGTGATAGCATGCTCTTGTGCAAACTTTAACAACTAGCGTCATTATTTTTATGATTCAAAAAATATATAAACAAAATATTTAGCATCACAAAATAAACACCTCATCTTAAATCTTTTGTCCCATAAAAAAAAAAAGCAAAATTTTTACTAAATTATACTATTGACATGTAAAAACATAAAAAGGTGAATAAATTTCGATATCGGTAGTATATTATCAACATTTTCATAAAATATTTGTGCATTAATTTATTTGTTTGACTTAGTGTTGTAACAATTTAAAATTAAAATATTTTAATTGTAACAATATACCCTTGTAATAACTAGCTTCGCCTCTTCTATACTAAAAAGTTGTGAATATCGCAAAAATACAACATAATTTACATTTTAACCATAAAAATGTCTATTTGTTGTATGCCGTATCAATGAAATATTGTTGGAGATATAAAAATCGTAAATAATTTACTGAGAAAAATCATGAAAATTTAACGATGTCGTATAGCTTTATATATTAATAGAAAATATATTTTAAGGTCTACGCATAATAAATGTCTTTTAATTCGAATACTTTATTTTGAAATATAAAAAAGAAATGATTTTTTTTTACAACACACAAAATACATTTTTATGAGATTTATAAGCCACTTATAATTAACGAATACTTAATGATTCATATTTTTTGAATACTAAACGTATACTTAAATGTTATTCGCGAGGTTTTTTTTTTACTCCGCCAAAATACACTAAACGATTCAATATTCTGTTTAAAAATATATATTTATTATTATGCAATACGCTTTACTATTCAACTAATAATCCACTGAGCAGACCGTCCAGAACTTGTAGTACTGTTATCGTTTTCTTTTGTATGTGTATATAAGATTGTTTCGTAACTTTTTGCTTCGACTTTCTCTTTCCCAAGAGTACAGGGATATAAATTTGTTGGGCATATAACTTTGCTGGTATCGTACAATTACAGGCGCTAACCGCGTCCCGTAGAGCTTGGACCGAAAATAATTTACGCAATGACACCTGTCGCAGTTACAGAAAGCATAAAAAAACATTGTCCTGCGTCTCGAGGGAAAATGTTTTCCTCCATAGTTCAAATAAAGACACAACTTTTCGTTTTGTTCTAGAAAGTAAAGATATTTTAGACAAATTTTGGTGCTATTGAAAAGTACTACCTTAATATGGTGATATTTTAATTAAAAATTTACTTAATCTTCAGTTTAAGTCTAAAGTAGAGAAAATATAAAAACCGCTGTGATGATAACGAATTTCACAAAGTAAGAACCATACATCATCAGTGACCCACACGAATAGTGAAACTCCAACGAAAAACTTTAGTACTTACGGTTGTTAAATGTGTGTCGTTGTTAAACACAGTTCCTTGTACACTCAAGAATATATTACAAAAGATTTAAAAAA